GCCCCCCCCCCCCCCCCCCCGCACCACGTGGAAAGACAACAAGCACCCGACAACAATCAGTATCAAGCACTCGACGAGCGTGCAGCAATTTTCAGCTGCGCGAAAGAACGCGAAAGAAACAAGCCCACCCTAATTTAACAGTTGAAAACCAGCCAGCAGGAAAGGTAACCGACGCTGAGGGGGGATAGCTGAGGGTGTGCGGGGGCATCAACTTGCGAACCCACCCCTACAAAAATTCGGCAAAACACAGGACAGGAAAACAAGCTGTACATCAACTCATACTTCAATGCATAAGCGGGGCACGGCCCCTCTACCACACACCGAACGCCACCTGATCCAGAGCTCGGCCGCCTTACCCTGCCTTGCCGTCGCAGCACGCCACGCGAATCTTTGCCAATATCCCCAACCTAGAACGTGACCACAAACCCATCAGCAGACTGAGGTTACCTTCGATCTGGCTTGCCGAAGGCATTCAACCATTCTTGCCGCCACGCACAACTCTCTGCCAACATCCCCAACCCAGATCGATCTGACCACGCACCCAGCAGGAGACTGAGCTACCTCGATCTGGATCGCCGCAGCCTCAGTCTTTCCGCCACGCAATCTCTCTACCATCACCTCCAACCCAGATTGATCTGACCACACGCCCAGCAGCAGACTGAGGGTAACCTCCAGCAGGCTTGCCGAAGCCATTCAATCATTCGCCACGCAAACCTTTCCAAACACCAACATCCCCAACCCAGAGCTGACGACACACCCAGCAGCAGACGGTCTCACTTCAATCTGGCCTGCCAGAGCCACTCGACCATGAGGTCGACCGCGACGAGGATCAGCAGCGAGCCGAAGAAGCACCTGGGCAGGAAGCTGATGACGCTGGCGGGCGATGCCGCCACGGCGAGGAGCATGACAAACGACACCGCGCTCGCCGCCCGTGTGTCCACGCCTTCCTCGGTATGGGCGACGGGGGTTGGCGGGGATACGGGTTAAAGAGGCGGGGTGGCAGGCTTCGATCACCAAAAGTATTTCGATCATGAGGCGTGCTGCGGCAAAAAAATAAACACGAACCACAGCAGCAACATGTACCTACAAAACTACACAGAGCCCACAATTGACGATCTCAATTGGCTGCTCGAAAACACACCCGGGAGAAAAACTGAGGTGTTGCAAGCGGGATGTGCGTACACCGCTCTAGCCAACATCTATTACTACAGCGCACTCCCATACGAACCCTTCGTTGAAGGGGCAAAAAGCGCACAATTTTAGAGCAGCTGCTACCAGCGAGGGCAAGGAGGTCGTCAGACGCAAGGAAGGGTTGATGAACTGCTAATCCCCCCCCCTTTTCTTGGGTAGCTTAAGCAAGCGTGATCAAGGCGCTTATTGTATAGGATACACTATATGGTTCAAGTATACTCCACAGTCCATACGTTCCATGTTGTAAAGGCTATATCATCACACTATCAAACCCATATAACGAGGTGAATAGGATTGGTGTGTGACCGCGGTCAAGTATTATGTGGTATACAATGCTGTAGATAGAGCATCACAACAAGGTACTACATGCGCATCACACTAAAAAACCCATTTAGTAAGAGGTGTATAAGTTCAAGTACAACAATACCAAATCCAATATACAATCATAATTCCCCTTATTGCAGTACCATATATATATGCAGACGAAATATTTCGTCTATTCGGGTGCTCGCCTTCGGTTTCCTCCCGCTGGGACACCGTTATATTCCGCACTTTCTTCTGCATGGCACGCAGAGGACCCGTCGGTACCATGCCCGTTATGTGCGGGGCTCGCGAGACACCGGTGGTGCGCGTTAGGGCCGCGTAAAAGTCGCTGGGACTGGCTGTTGGGAATCCGAACCATAAAAGCCTCCTCGAACGGGGATGAAAACTGAAAACATAACTTTATTTTTGCCCCGCGCCACGCGCCACGCGCCCACACAGCTGCTGTGATTGTTGTGGACACACTCATTCACACTGCTGCTGTGATTGTTGTACACACGCACCACACAGCAACTGGCCCATGCGTGCCCGCAGCGGGGACCAAGACTCTTGACGCTGCTGATGGGAACTTACCACGTGACACAGAAGTCCTCTCGCACAACTCTGGCAGAGGTCATTTGAAGTTCAATATCGAAATATCGAAAAATTCAAATATAGAAGTTGTGGTACGGTAGCAGTCTACATCTGTGACTGTTCTTGGGTAGGTCGAGCGCCTCTTCGGTCCGTTGGTGGTGTTGCGTGAAAACGCCCCACAGACCATGGGAAACATGGTCGCACAAGAAAACTAAGTGATCAAAAACGCAGCAGACTACAGCAGTAGGACCTACCTGCAGCAAAGACGCCGCTAGCCTAAAGCACACACTCGCGTACAAGCTAAAAGTCACAAGACGGGGGGAGAAGAAAACAAAACTCCCCGCACATGATGCAGTTTCCAGGCAAATTGGTAAGCACGTTGCACGCAAACCGGCACTACCGAACGTCGTGCCAACCAACCATGCGACAGCGATGACATTGATTGGCCATGTCCTCTTGCGTCGCCCCCGGGAGGCAAATCACCTAACTCCCGCAGGGGGGCCTTGTACATATAATATTTGGTCACTTTTTATGCTTCGGCGTTTCTTTCTCTCGCGGCAGCGAGTCTTTTGTCGCAATTCCTTCCCAGGGGCACGCAGGAGGCTCGTCGGTACATTGACGCCCGTGCCCGGAGCTCGGTAGGCCTCCGTGGCGCGTGCGTGTGGTTGACGGCCAAAATTGCGAAAACTTGCCCAAAACGCCGGGGACGCGTTGCGCGCTGACAAAGCCTGGCGAACCAATTCTGGAACCTATTACCGTATATGACACAAGATAACACACCCCCTTGGCCGATTTTCAAAGCTCGATTTCTCAACAGCAGGAAGAGTCACAGCGCCGAAAACGGCGGCGTTGGAACCGTCTCGTCGAGAGCTGTTCGAAAACGTATTGTTTCATTTATGCATCCTCTTCGTCGTGGAGTAATCGAGCTTTGAAAATCGGTCCAGGGGGTGTGTTATCTTGTGTCATATACGGTAAACCCATCATATTCGCTTTTTGAAATATTGGCCTCTTGTTTTTCCACTTTCATTCGTTCATTCCTTCATGATCGATGATTCATGGCTGTAACTCTTCGTGTCACCGCACTGTCCAACAGCAGTAGTACCCACGTTTACTACACTTCGCAGCGGGCCAAGTGTAGACAAGTCTGAGAGCATGTGTCCAGCCGCAGTGTTGAACATGTTCCATTTGTGGAGTTGTTTCGGCTTCAAATCCGGTTCTCATCGGAAATCTGCCAGCATCAATCAAAGATATCATCGAAGTCTGAGTTTTCACTGCCAAAATGTTGTCCGCTCGAGCTGGCTCCAATAATGTAGAATAACAACGTGCGTGATGCTTTGTGCGGAAATACAAGTGTTGTAAGACACACAGTCCCTCTTCGGGCAATGGGCATGCATGTGGTCTTGCGTCGCCTGAGGGAGGGTAGACACCCACGTCCCGAAGGGAGAACTTGTATGTATATATATCATTTCGCTGTTTTCGTGCTTTGGGACATCCTGCGCTGGCGAAAATTAATCCGTTCTTACGCGTCTTTCTCAGGGGCACGCACAGGGAGGGATGGTCGGTACATTACCGCCACACCCGAGGACCGCCAGCCACCCGTGGCGCGTGTGCTCGACGCCCAAAGTAGAAAAACCTGGCTCTATTCCCCGGGGACATGTTCCATACCTCAAAAAAAGCCTTCGTTAGGATTTACAAAATTTTCATTCATCATCCGTACAAGGAACCATTTTGACATTTTCTCTCCTTCGCAAGGTCACACATGTTCCCCACACCATGAGCAACGCGGCACGAAGCGCAAGGGGGAGAGAGAGAGAGAGCAAGAAGTGCAGCGAGTTACAGAACTGCAATCTGCGGCAAAGACGCCGCCATCCTATCGTATGTGTGCTTGGGACTCACCTCTCCAACTGCTATACAGCGGACAACACGAACATTAGGTAACGACACCGGCTTACACTAATTTCCGAGTATTACCGTATTTCGCACGAGGAAATGTTTTTCCCGGACCGACCACAGAGAATCTGCGCAGAAACCTCCGAGTGATGACGGTCCAAACAGACAAAAACCGCCAACAAGAACGTAGTTGAAGAACACAGCGCAGCAGTCTGTGTCACAGCAGTAGCATGCACAGGATCTACGGCAAGATTCCGTGAGCGCGCGCGAAGAGTCCCACTGTGAGAAAAAAATGTCCCCGCAATCGACGCGAGGTATACTCTGCAGATTTCACCGAAACCAACCGTGTGACACTACCGGAGGTTGAGATGCGCAGCAATGCAACCATGGTATCAGTGGCCATGTCCTCTTGCGTCGCCCCCGGAAGGCAAGCGCATCTACCTCCCGAAGGTGAACCTTGTATGGCGTAAAACAGACTCCCTTCCCTGATCTGGCCCTAGTCCAGATTCGAGCAGTGCATCAAGCCCTGCGTTTCACGAGCTCCCTCGTAGGCGAGGGGGCAAGCAGCAACCCCATTTGAACACTAACAACCTCACCACGTACGATCAATATCCCAAAATCTTCATATTAAATGCACATGCACCTACCTGCCCGCAGGTTAAAGATGGTCTGGCTGAAGATGTAGCTGCCCGTGAAGCCGCCGAACAGCCCCGAGATAACGTTCGACCACCCCACCTTGTGTTGCCGTTTTCGTAAGGGACGAGAAAACACAGCGAAGCCCGCGCAAACGTCGACACACACACACGAGCAACCGGGGGGTGTACACATAGTCGTGCATGCCGTAGTCGTGAGACCATTGACCTCGCATCCCGACGAAGCCGGGACGGAGCACCCTAGGTTCTCACCGGACCAGGCTCTCACATCACCAAGCGCGAAGCACCGAGAGGTATTTGGCGAGTCGCCTGAAGGGTGCGCTGCATCTTGCTAAGGGTGTTCGGCGTCTTGTGTTTACTCCCTTGCGTTCGGATGACACCTGCTGCAAATGACTTATTTATTTTCTGGCGGTTTCACTTCCAGAGACAGTTGTAAGCACCGTGTAGCTGCCTCGAGGGTGCTTGACCAATTTGACACAATGTGGTGCGATCATCCCCTTTGCGCGGAGTGAGGGTTCTCGATCCCGCACAACATAAACTACTCGACCATCACTACGGTGGTTACCGCAAAAAAAGCAAACAGCAACCTGGGTGCCGAGTTCACGAAGTAATCGGCTTGTTTGACAACGTTGTTACCAAGCGACGAAGACCCAACCCCGATGACAAACACCGCAGGGGTGGCAGGGGGGGTCAAAAGACGGGAATTCGAAGAGCACAGCTCCCCGCCCCCCCCCTCCGACCACGGTGAATCTGGAGGCTGGGTCCTCCCGTCTATCCCCACCCCTTCAGTGTAACGCACCGCACCTTCCACGAGGGGGCATCGAGGTAGACTTTGATCGCACCTATCTATGCATAATATTGCCTACTGGTTGGAAATCGTGGTCGGGAGCTGTGAAAGAAACACATGCCCACTACGGCCCGAATCAGCGGTGGAGCGCTCGGGCACCCGGCATATGTCGAACACAAACGAACAGAAATACCCTAAGAGATCGCAGCTCTACCGATCGCAAAACAAGAAGAAGGCCCAAAAAACACGCACAACCGCATATCTTGCAAAGCCCCGAGTAGTCACAAAACCTCCAAGGCCGAGCATCGCCCCAGACGCAAGAGCAACAGCAACACTCACGGAGGGCGTAGGCACACCCACGCAAGAACCCTCTGAACAAATGCGACCAGGGGGGCTACACCGAATCAACGGCCCCCAACACAACACACCAAGCAGAACAACTTGCGTTGACTCTCTTTCTCGCTCGCTCTCTTCCTCTCTCTCTCCCGCTCTATCTCTATCTCCCCCTCTCTTTTTGGCAACTCACCGTCTGCAGCTCCTCGTTGAAATCCAGCGGCTTGGCCATCTCCATCTCTATGGCGGCGATATCCAAGCAGCTCGAGAACGCAACGACCACGATCATGGCCAACAGGTTGGGCACAACCTGGGAGAGAGGGGGGCGGGCGGTACGTCCACGTACCTATGAACCGACGACCAAGTTCTCCCTGTTTCGGATGCGTGCGTAGTAACAACCAAGAACGGCCATGCTCTTGGGGGGCTCCGCTCTCGTGGTTGGTACCCTTATCAAACTTACCAAGCAATCAAGATCCAACACCAACCACATCCCAAGCCAGTCCAAACCAACCCAACCAAAGCACATCCCAACCCATCCCAAACCAAACCAACCTAACCTAACCTAACCTAACCCAACCCAACCCAACCCAACCCAACCCAACCCAACCTCCAAACAATCGCCACAAACCACCAACCGAGTACGTCTTACGGTTCCCGCGAAAGACATTCAAGAGTTTGAGGAGGAGAGAGTACGAAAAACAAATGCACGCCCGTTTGCGTCACTTGAAAACCAAAAGGCGGTCACGCACATTTACCGATGGTGGCAGAGGGTTTTTTCCGCGTGTGTGCCCCGGGTTATATCTCATTCATGAGCCAAATTCACTTCAACAGCAGGCAAGAAGAACATCTGGGAAAAGCTAGAACAGCGAGTGAACCAGGTTCAACTGGTTAGGCATCCCCCTCCCCCCCACAAAACGGGACTCACCCTCACGAACGCTCCCCAATGGATGTCGGCGAAGGAAAAGTAGTCCCAGGCGTGATTGAGGGGGAGCATCGGGGACGCTGCGCTCACCCACCCAGCAGCTCTCGCCTCCTGCAGCAAAAAAACAAATCGTGATGAATGCAGAAATGAAACGCAGCAGTGTACCGGCAGGAGGGGCGGGGGATTGTTCATCTACAGGTGCGAGTTTTGGCCAATCACGCTGAATTCTGGGCACGGTACATGAATAAGAGGCCAGAAGGCAGCGCTCAATTGGACGCACAGCGGCAGCAACAGCAGCAGCAGCAGCAGCAGCAGCAGAGATTTTGCGGAACGTTAGCGATCAAGGGGAGATCGAGGCGCGTGCACTCGCGCATACACAGAGAAGTTCGCCGGCGTAGCGCGGGAAAAAAAAAAATGGACAAGATACACACGAACAAAGAACGTGCGTGCGTAACCGCCATGATGCTGGAACAATGCTAACAAAAGGGAAAAAACACTCATGGACAATAACAAACTCACGTCGAGAGTCGTTCCCGTGACCCTGAGTAACGCGAAGAACGTTCCCAGGAACGCGGCCATGAGCAGCGGCAGCGTGGTCGGAGAGGGGAAGCGCCGGAGGGAGAGGTACATCACCAAGCCGGCCAGAACCGCGGGCAGCACTAGCAGGAGCGCCTCTCGGTTGGCCAGGACGCCGAAGTCTCTAATGCCGCTGATCTCCAGCTGTTGTTGGTGGTGGACACACAGCAAAGGTTTTTCCACGGATGATGATGACCGACCGTATTGGAGGGAAAACTGGGCGCAAAAACGACGCTTCCGTTCTTACTTTAATCAGAGGATGGATGGCGTGTTTGCTCTTTTCTACAGTATTCACGACGCAGCATCATTTGGAAATGTGTAGATAGCCGCAGCGAACATCACGGCCTCAAGCGACCATCACTGCATGGCTCGTGTCGAAGCGACCAGCGAGCAATAACCGCTTGGGAAACGCAAAACGAGTTAGGTACTTGTAGGGGGCAGCGCGCGAAGGGGCTGGAGGGGGACTCTTGCCACGAAGTATCTTCGCGATCACGTCAACATGCACTGTGAAAATACAGCGTTGGTCCAACACTCGTTGTCTGTCTCTGCTCCGCTGAAGAAGGAAGGATGGCGTCGTACACACAGAGATAAAGCATGAGAGAGTGGAGTGGTTATATGCATACATGCAATTTGGAAAATACTTGGTGAAAAAACAAGCGTAAATGAATCCGGAATGGTACACCCCTTTTCTCCCCCCCCCCCCCTCTAGAACGTCGACGAAGACATAGGACGGTAGACGACGAAGACGACAAGTTCAAATGTGATTGCGGCTTCCAATGCGAAGACAGTGTTCATGTAATCCCGGAATGTCCGTGGTACGAAAAGGAGAGGGAAGTGTACATGACTGAGCTGGGAAAAATACAAGGGACGTACAGGGAGATGTTTGAAGCATGGAATAGAGAGGAG